CCTGTTTGCCGAGCCTGGCTACAGAGTGCGACCCGGCAGTCGCGGCCTCCGTCTCTCTGTCCCGCCGTCGCGTAGCTCAGCAGCCAGGCGCTTTCTCCTCCTGCTCACCGGCCCCTGGAAGTGACAAACCCTAATCGAGCCGGAGTGCTGCTATTCGTGCTGCTTCGCGTTCCCGCGGGGAAGGCGCTTTGCAACCCCCACGGTCACGTCTCTGCTACTGTGTCTGAGATGAGACGCTTTAGCAAACTCAGCATCGGTTAAGCCCTTGACTAGGGCTCTGCCCGGTCTGGTTCTAGGCGACTGTCCTGCCATCCCTGCCGTTCAGAAGACGATCGCTGCACGCAGCTCACACTGCGTTATCCTCCATTCGTTCGTTCGTTCGTTCCTTCCTTCCTGGAATGAGGAGCTGCCCTATCCCCACCATTATGCTTGAGCGCCTGGGTAACACGCAGATGTAGTGTTTAGCATCGATGCAGGAGGGATAGATGGACAAGTAAAACAGAAATCAGCGCGTTGTTATAGATACTAAAATGGAAATATAAAACGCAAGGCAGCAAGGCCCTTCGAACATTCTTGCCGCATACCTCTACAGACTGATCTCTCCTTGGCATCAGGAAACTACCCGAAGTTCCTCAACAACCACAGAGCAATTCCAAAGCAACCCCGAACCCCACTTTAACCTAATTTCCTTCATCTCCCGGGACCGAGCTCACCCCTCTTTTACAAGGAATTTTTTATTTTTATTTTTCTGAATCCTCTGAAGTGACACCCTCACCCTGCCCTCCAGCCCAATATCTACGTATAAAACTAGGAAGATGTCCCTTTGGGGCTCCCGTAGGTCCCTCTGTATAACTCTATTTTACCACATTCATTTACTTAAATACTGATTCCCCCATGTATTAGGTGCTAGTGATAACAGCAGAGAATAAGACAATCAAGGTCCTTGCCCTGCTTTTCAGCGGAATGGGCAATGAGCAAGGACTTATCATGATTTTCTGTTCATTTATAAGTCTCCCCATTTAAGTATCCAAACTCCTGAAGTTCGAACAAATGGTTTTATTCATTCTTATAGTCCCAGAACTTAGCACAGCACCTGGCACGACATTCTCCTCAGCCTACTGCATGGATGAGCAGAGAAAAATGCAAAGATTTGCCAACAGGATTTACGCCTGTTAGTACAATGACCTCAGAAGAGTGTAATATTCCATCCAATGCACATAGTTTTTAAACATCAAACCAAAACAAAAGTATATATCCTAAGAGTTAAAAAATGCAAACTCCAATCAAGCGAGTTTCCTGGTGGGAAGCTGCAGATTTTTGTGAGCAGATAGGTAATATATGTAACTTGAATCCAACATCTCGCTTCAGTTCTTGAAGTCCAAAGACTAGAAAAGGAGACCAGATATGTTAATTGGGACAGAGGGATGGTGCATTCTGGATATTTCCAGGTCTCATTACCTGCCAAAATCTCTGCTCTAATTAATCTCTGTTTACTGGAATTACGGCACCTGGCCTTTTTAGTGTGTATGCGTCTTTTAACTCCAGGACTTGTTACAACTAAAATTTTTAAAATGTCAAAAGAATTAAAAATATAACATCGAAAGGATCATCTTTAGAGTTGATGTTTTTATCTTCTTATGTTTAAGTGATTCTGGCATCTTAGAATTGCAGCCTTAAATAAAATTTAAAATGCAAAATTGAACGGTTGATTTAGATTTCTAAGTTCAAGTCGAAATCTTACTAGTTTATCAACGGTAACAGAACAGCTAAAAGAAATTTAGGCCAATCATATTATGTTATATGATTAATTTAAAAATTATAATTTAAGGATTCAAAAAGGTATTACGTCCAACATTTGAAGTACTTATTAATGAAATATTAAATTTATAAATACAGTTTAAAATGTTTACTTGAAGATGATTAAATAAGTATGTGAATGAGATCTGAAGTTTGTCAGAGGTTAATTCCAAGTTTGCTACACGTAGCACTAGACTAATAAGAGCTGTAAACTAAAAAAAGCCCAAGGTTTAACTAGGGCATTGAATTTGGAACTCGATAAAGTGCATGTTAACTGTTAAAAGTAAGGATTTTTGCTAACGAGTATTTTATTTCCTCTTAAAATATATTTTAACAGCTTTAGTGAGCTATAATTCTCATACCATAAAGTTCACCTATTTAAAGTGTACAATTCGGTGATTATTAGTATGGTTAGTATAGCCATCATCACAATCTAATTTGAGAACACTGTCGTCACCCCAAGAAGAAACCTCATACTCCATCACATCCCACCCCACCACCAGGTAACAACTAATGTACTTTCCGCCTCTATGGATTTGCCTATTCTAGACATTTCATATAAATGGTTTCATACAATATGTGCCTCACTTAGCATGCTGTTTTCAAAGGTCATCCATGTTGTAGCATCTCAGTATTTCATTCCTAGAGAAACTTCTGAATCGTCTTTGGCATATAGAAACCACCTTCGAGGATATGCCATGTTATGGGCTGAATTATATCTCCCTACTCCAAAATTCATATTTTGAAATCTCAAATCCCAGTATCTCAGAATGTGACTTAGTTTCAAGATAGGGTCTTTCAAGTGTTAATTAAGTTAAAACGAGGCCATTGGGGGGTGGGGAGGAGGGAGTCCTAATCCAATCTGTCCTGTGTCCTTATAAGAAGAGGAAATTTGGACACACAGAGATACCAGGCCATGTAAAAACGCAGCAGAGGAGAGGGTGGCTGTCTGCAAGCCAAGGAAAGTGGCTTTGGAAGAAACCAAACCTGCCAACAGCCCGATCTTGGACTTCTAGCCTCCAAAACTGTGAGAAATAAATTTCCATTGGTTTAGCCATGCCGTCTGTGGTATCTCCTTACAAGCAAACTAGTAGCTACATCAAGAGTTTAGGATCCTCCAGGAAAACAGAGAACTCAACTTTCTAAACTCGTGTTCCAGAGGCATCCATCATGTCCTTTCAGAGAGCCTGCCCATGGCTTAGAAGGAGCAGCTCTAACCATGTGGCCACGGCTATTGGAAACAAGATACGTGTCTTGGATTCTCTAGGACTTTGGAATTACGTCATGGAGACTTTTGTTGGTTAACTGAGTAAAAACAAACAAACAAACAAACAAAAAAACAAAACCGAAGGATCATAGAGACTAAAAGGCTAAGACAAGTAGAGAAGTAATTGGAAAAGAAAGAGCTTTCTCATTTTCAAGGGGCTCCGTTACTTTGCCAAAAAATATGGGTCTCTGAGATTCTTCTGTGCCTTTACATTGTTCTCTCTCTCTGTCTCTCTTTTTAGTTGGGTTCTTTTACTGGGGTTCTTGCAGCCCCCAATTTTTCTTTTGATCGGCCAGGGTTCAAAGCAGGATACAAAAATCCCTCAATATTTTTAAAGCAGAAGGATATTTATTACAGGGAATCGGGCACCCAAAAATCTTTGTAACGGATAGAGGAGTAGGCTGTAAGCTGAGCCTCAGACTGACCCCCACATTCTTACAGGATGGACCCAAGAGGAGAAGTACCACCTCTGAGGTTGCCACTGGAAGTCCCGAATTCAAGAACGCACTGATCAGCGGCTGCAATCCAGTGATCAGAAGGCCAGCACCAGAAAACTTCTGCCATCAGAGCCATCGTTACTTCTTAACTCCATCAAAGCTGGAGTTGAATCCCTGCTGCAGAAAGTCCCGAACGACCAGAAAACAGCCCTACGGGTTTAGAAATACGGCTTCTGCTTTGGTTCAGTTCTGGACATCTTGGTGAATACATTTGACTGGCAGAATCTAATTCGCATGCAGAACTGTGCTGGCAGGGAAGTCTGGGTAACGTCACTGTTTGTTTTCCGGGTTTTTATACGAGATGGGACGACTGGGGGCTGAGCAAGGAAATCCAAAATACCCGCTTTTCCCATCGATCTCACCTAGCCAGTTAGGCAGAGACGATCTTGGGTCAGGTTCTCCAGAAACAGAGGCTGAGGCAAGGAGTCTTGTCCAGTGATTTGTGAGGGGAGCGCTGTCTGGAGAAGGGACGAGAGGGAAGCAGGACGGGCCAGGAAGACAGAGAACAAGAACGAGCCTCGGCTGATCCCACGAAACTCACCAGCAAGACTCAACCCGAAGGGCCAGCGGTTTATACCCCCAGGCCATTGGGTGAGCTCTGCAGGAGGGCAGCAAAGCCTCATCACTGAGGCGGTTTCTGGCCAAGGACGATTCTCCAGAGAAGGTGGCATCTGGAGTTATCTGACCCTCGCAGCAGCCGGAGCATAGATGACTCACACAGGGTGCAAACAGGATTCACTAGAGTCTATACTTTGTGATGCTTAGATCACTTTTCACATGAACTCCATCCAAGCACAGCTTCTCCAGAATTCATATTAGTCAGTCACGATTTCTGGGAAATTTTCTAAGAGGAGGGTAATGGGATGAACGACAGTCCCTATCGTCACAGCTGGTCCCAAGCCATGACTGACACTCACTATCTCCCTGCTCTGCCATCCTTTCCACTCAGCCATCAGGAGGCTTGACTGATAGACTGACCCAGGCACTCATCACTGAGGGGCTCGACGACTGGTTCCCATGCTCTCATCAGGCTGTAGCTGCTGTGCGTGCGCATCTAAAGTTA